GCCGTGCACATCGGGCTCGGAGCAACCTGTACAATCTATACTTCCTCTCGTATTTCTGCAACACCTCTCGCAAAATATTCACCCCAATTGCAGCGAAGAAGAAAATGATGACGAGGGTAAGACAGTGTTAGGGAGGGAAGAGATTCCTTCCACTCCTAGCAATGCCATTCCACGGTACAAAGCACCGTATGGTGCTGGATAAGTCCCGGTAGGATCCCCCGATTGGATAAGCCTTGTAGAAAAACCAGAAGACAAGAGGAGTTAAGAGACAACCCATCGCAGTCCCTGCAACTTGGCTGAAGAACATTGAGCGAGGAGATGATAAGGTGAGATATCCAGTCTTGAAATCTTGCATGAGATCAGAAGCTGTAGATACAATACTCATCATGACACCACATGAAGCAAGACCAGCAATTACGCCGCCGTTTTGATTTCCGACCCAGGCGCTGAAAATGATGATGGCGAGTTTGCCGTAGTTGGAGGCAAGAGACCAGTCAGTGAGGCCGCAGCCGTAGGCGTTGCAGAAAGCTAAGATGGGAGCAATGGCGTAGGCGACTAGGATGTGGTACCATTTGAGTTGAGGGAAGATGAAGGGAACTGTGATGATGGAGATGATGGCAAGAAGCAAGTAACCTGTAATGGCAACCCAGCTGGGAATTTGGTCTTTTAAGAAATATTCTTTTCGTTTTTGATCGTCGTAATTTGACAGTTGATTATTATGATCAGGTGTTGTTAGAGCTTCTGAATTTACAGAGGAGGAATCCCTGTGCTTGGACCTTTGCTTTGCAAGACTAATTGATGTCTGAGCCAGCATGTAGACTATATGGAAAAGGCCGTCCCCAAGCATCATAGCTACAGCAATAAATATCTGTGCAACAATCACCAAAATCATACTTAAAATCCTTTCTTTTACATATATTTATATATATATATGTATATATTATGTATATACATACCTTATAACCCTGTAAGCCATGAAGGCTGCTGGGAGATAGATGGGCATCATACCAAATACCTTTCTTCTTCTCAATCAAAGGCCACATGATTCCCCAAGAGAGAATGGAGCCAAGAAGCAAAGAAATGTTGACCACGTAAGGGCAAATCATGCCAACACCAACATAAGTTGATGAGAAATCAAAGTAGAACCTGCAACATATACATACATATATACGATTAGTTCATGATTTGAAGTATGAGTTTTTATAAAAAAATAATTATCGAAAATGTATACATTTATATATTAAAAAAACTATCAAAAATTACTTTTGAGCAAAGGCTTGGAGGCCAAATGTTGGGAAATTCACAAATCCGCAGCCATCGCCTGCTGTGAAAAACCACTGGAAAAATGCAAACAAGAAGCTAAAACAGAACCACTTGAACAGAACTCTAACTTGTTTCCTGCATTAAATTATTATTATTACTTAACCAATTCAATGAACAAATATATCTATGTATGTGTGTGTGTGTATATATATAATAGTGATGAATAATATGCTTACTTGGCTAACTTGGCTCCTTTTGGTGTGTGGAAACTGTTGATGAGATATGCAGTTGCAGTGCCACTTGGGTATGTTAGCTTGTACTTCAAGATCATCATCTGTAATTAACACAGTTCAATGAAATCAAAATTTCTTATATGCTTATATATAAGAAATAGCTGTTTGAAATAGACTCTAACCTTTCTTAGAGGCACAATAGAGAACAATCCAACGAAGCTGACTACAAATAGAAATCCAATCATCCAGCCTAGAGAAAGTGCCTTGACATTCACTGGAATATTTCCAGTTTCAGCCTGAGCAGCCACCCTCCCACTCATCCCCAACATGTAACTCGCTGTCCCACCTATACATACACCACTGATCAATATAATTTCAAGACTATATGTATCATTCACTCCAAATAAATATACATCCTTACTTATATAATGAAAGTAATGGTTGGTATACGTTATAAACAAATTAAGATATATACAGGAAGACATGAGGAACGAATGAATAAACTTACTGCTAAAGGCAATGCCAGAGGAAGCAACAATGCAGGTCTGAATGACAGTGTTTTCCTGTCTGGTAAAAGGGTGTTTCAGGAGTCCAAACTTTTGGAGGAAAACGGTGTAAGTCTTCAGGATGGCGAAACCCAATAATCCGGCAGCCACATTGAGCGATGGAATAACACCGGTCGTGAGATTCAGTTTGCAGACAATGAAGTTGAAGACGATTGACAGGACGAAGCTCGTAGCCATTGCCCGAGCAGTAAGTTGTTTAGTCCATGGCGGAATGCGTGTGTTCTTGAACGCATCTTCCATACCCAGCTCCTGCCTCGCTTCATCGTTTTGATCACCTCCACTAACACTTAATATTTCCTCTTCATCAATAATAATCTCTTCCTCAATACCACGCCCAGAAGAAGATCTCTCCATGTTTCTCATCTCAAGATTCTTTGATAAAGAGGAACAGTCCTCTCAAGATTATATGTACATATGTAAGAGTAGAGTAGAGTAGGAGTCCTAGTCGGAGTAGAGGAGTGGCAGTAAATTGAGTCTTCTAAGGACTTTATAAGGAACATACTTTCTTTATTGTCTTCTCTTATTTTTTGTGATATATATATATATATATTTACATATATAAATAGATATACAACCTTTTCTTTAAATATATACTAATCAATATAAATGTACTAAAACATATTTAATATTCTAATTTTTATTATAGTTCGAAAGAGAATTATTTGAAAATATGCTACATATAATTTTAAATAATTTAAACTTAAACTTAAATTCAATTTATTTATTGTCTCTATATATATATTATTATTTTAAATAATTTAAACTTAAACTTAAATTCAATATATATATAGGGAGAGAGAGAGAGAGAGAGAGAGAGAGAGAGAGAGAGAGAGCCAGAGACAGCCTTGATTTCTATATATATATATATATATATATATATATTATTATATGCGTCAATGTTCATCGCCGCCGGCCTTCGCTGATCACAATCCCATCATCACTGCATGCTTTCTTTTCCCTCTCTTCTCTGTCGCTTGCCTTTATCGAATCCAGCTCAGTACATTCGCTTCATATCATCATTTCTTCTGCCTACTTTTATTGGTTATAAGTGAATGTCCTTAAAATAAATTGACAAAAACTAATTTTGCATGAGGGTTATGCTTTGAGAAAAAAAGAGAAATCAAAATGCACAAGAGAGTCTTAATGTTGATTAAGTATCAAACTCTTGCCTGGTGACAAGTCATGTGAGAACTACCTGTGACTGACCTGGCCGGAAGCGAGACCACCTTTTCCTTTTCCGCATCTACCTTTTAGGGGCCCTAAAGCAGCAGTCAATCACTCGGATACCTCCAACTGCATGCACTTATCTGATTTCTCCGGTACGCCAGCGCACACAATTTGCTTGTTTGTAGTTTCATCTGTACTGAAAACCATTGCTGATATTCCCTACCCATCAACCAAGACACTGATAACTTCTTTGTTCAAATATGTGTCAATTTTAATTTGACATAATTGCAATGCAAATTCGATCAAGAAATATCCAGAAACAACTAACCTTCTGGTCCATGACCTTTAAAACAGCCTCGCTAACTGCGGCTACATCTAGACCAACATCAACATGAGATATGCAGAATGAATTCCTAGCTGAAGTGGCAATTTCTGCTGTCTCAGTTGCAATCTTGACGGCTTTCTGGATATTGCTTCAGCAATTTTCTTTTGTGCTTTTCTCACTTGGTTCTGAATTAAATAGATAAATTATATGAGGTAAAACAGCAGAGATTAACATAAAGAGGCAGAAGCTTTCAGCCAAAGGAAGAGAAATGTGCTGAAAATATAAAAGGGGGAAAAAGCAGCAAAGAATTGGTTAGTAGGCCTAGATTAGTCACAATACCTAAAGTAGCATAATTTTGGCCCTGATAGCAGCTTCTTGGCAGCTAGAAAAAGAGCTGAATCTACATGACCTTTTAATGAAGCAACTTTCTGCAAAAATTCAAACCAATAACCAAATTGGTACGAGGATACCGATTCAACAATCCAATAATAGCCAAAACCATAAGTTCAAATTTTCAATTTCTATAAGAAATTCAAATTTTCAATTTCTATAAGAAACTAAATATTACACCAACAATCAACTCCAAAAGAAACGTCCAAGAAATATTCGTAGATACAGATGAGACTCATTTTGCCCATTATTAATGAAAAAGATTACAAGAGTAATCATAGAACATGATTTAATGCAGAATTTGCACAAGAATAGAAGATGCAATCAACTTTGGCGGGTTCTTGATCTCCTTTTTAAGCCTTTCACTTTTAAAAGCCTTGATGATACTTTTGAATATGACCATAACTTCTATGCTTTTGTTTACATAGAAAGTAACAAGTTATCAGCTACCAACCTTATAATAAAGAAAAAAGCACCTAGCCTGTATCCCGTCTCAGGAACTACAGCCAATCATGAGAGAATGCAGAAAGGATTATTCAGGACCAAACTTGAAGCAGAGGATAAGGGCATTATAACGGTGGTTTTGTCATCATGAGCAAATATTAGGTCATACACAGTTACACACCATCATTACCTAGCCGGAGAAAAGCAAAAGGGAACAAGATATAAAAGAAAGTAAGAGAGACCTTTTCTAGCAAGCTTCCTTCGATCTGGGATGCATCATCTACTTCACCTTCAAGTGCAGACGCTAATTCCATTGCACTGTGTTGGTAGAGATAACTTTGGAAAGTTCAGATTTGTTTCTAGATATGAAAGTTTGAAATAAATCTCAGCTTTCATGAGATTTGATAATCGCATAAAGTTTGAAATAAATTTAATTCCATGGGATTGA